CCCTGCCTTGTCCATTTTCACCCTGAGGAAAACACAAAAAGGCTCTGGGCCATGCTCTCTCTTGGCTCCTCATGACCCTGGTACTTCCCCTTCTGGCCCTGCATGGCGTGGCGGGGCCCCTCCTCCTGAGAACCGCGAGTACTAAATTCTTCCTTTGTGGCACTTGTCTCCTAGTCTGTCACTTTACCATACCTGATTCAAACAAAGCCCATGTACTTTTAGGATACAGGGCAGGAGGCTGGAAGAATTGCCCGCAGGGATTCAGAAGCACTGTTTCCACACGTGGAGGTGGAGAGAATGACAGTGAGTTAGGAGCTAAAATCAACAAGAAATGAGGATGCTGATCAGAGCAAAGGCGGCGCTGGTGATTCTGAGACCAGGAGGCTTACACATGGTGGCTCCCAGGGTGGAGAGTGGCCTGGCAGTGTTAGGAAGGAGCCAGGAGGGCCCCCACCCCACCTGCAGACCCAGAGGTGGAGGGATCCTGTGAAGAGAAGTCTCTGCACCCGAAAGCTCCAGGGGAAGCCAGGTTTTCATTAGAGCACCACTGAAAGTATGCTGGGGGAAGAAGAGAAGAGTCTAATGACAGGGCGATTGGTGCTGATGGTGGTTTCTGGAATACAGGATGGGTGGGAGATAGGGTCAGAAACAAGGATGTGCAGAGCCCTGTGGGGCTTAGACTGTGGCTGACATGGGATAAAGGCCACCTGTGTTCTGTGTCCATTGTCTTCCATCTCAGTAGCTTGCAACACAATCTCTCTCTCCCTGCTTGAAACACTTTCTTTTTGTTGTTGTTGTTTGTGTTTTTTTGAGACGGAGTCTCGCTCTGTTGCCCAGGCTGGAGTGCAGTGGTGCGATCTCGGCTCACTGCAAGCTGCACCTCCCGGGTTCATGCCATTCTCCTGCCTCAGCCTCCTGAGTAGCTGGGACTACAGGTGCCCACCACCACGCCCTGCTAATTTTTTGTATTTTTAGTAGAGACGGGTTTCACCGTTTTAGCCAGGATGGTCTTGATATTGTGATCCACCCACCTCAGCCTCCCAAAGTGCTGGGATTACAGACAGGAGCCACCGTGCCCAGTGAAACTCTTTCTTTCTGACTTCTGGCATGGCCGACTGCCATTCGGGAGGGCTGTCCACAATCCTTGCCATCCCATGGCACCTTTCTCTCTTGTTCGGGAATTCTGCGTGTGCATAGTCTTGGCAGGAAAGTGTCTGGAGCATGGCCAGTTAGACCCACCTCCTGAAACACTGGAATCCCAAGGGAGTCAGCTGGGCCTGGGGCTTCAGGGCCTCTCCCAGCCTGGCCTGGGGGCCCCTCCAGCCTGTGAGCCCCTCTCCTTTTGCTGGGGTGCCGGACTCCTCCTTCCTGACCTATTACCTTCTACCAACCAGGGATGGCAACGTTTAAGTGCTTGACTCCCAGG